ATATGGAATGCCTGTGCTTCCGGCCAGGGCATTAACCCACTGTGCCACAGTGCCGTCCCTTCATGGCACATTTCTGTAATACAAAATGCTACTCCTTAAAATTCACTATAAAAAAATCTAGGTTCATCATCAATTTCCAGTAGCTAATAAGCTCCACCCCTACAACTGATTCAGGGCCTACATTTACTCAAGGGGGAGAGATTTACAGAATGTGAAATTGAGAAAGAAGCTTAAAGGTTACCTATCCTTGATTAAGACTCTCATTTTATAGGAGAATACAAGGCCAGAGAAGCAAGATGAGTTACTCAAGGCCACACAGCTGGTAAATGGAAGTCTCTGGACTGAAATCCAGCTATCCTGATTGCCAGATAAAGATAGCCCTGGTTCATCCTCAGGCTAAGGGGTACAGGAGCCAGCTGTGATAGTCTGCATGTTTCAATTTGTGATTGTGGGTAGGAACACAAGTCCGCTGAGAGCAGGTACAACGTCTTTGGCGTTTTGAACAGTGCTTGGCAAATGCATGCTAAAATATTTATTGGTTGACTGGGTGTATGTGTGTGAATAGCAAGAGGGGTGTAGCCATATGTACAGTATTACCCATGACTCACAAAATCAGGCAAGTCTTGGACACATAGGTATCTGGGAGTACGTGTGTCCACTGGGCGTGAAGCCTGGTGAGGGGAGGGAGTGCCTGTGTGTGAATGATGTCTGTAAGCACCAGGTGTTTTGAGAATCCAGTCTATGGCCAGCGCCACGGCTCACTAGGCTAATCCTCCGCCTGCGGCACCGGCACCATGGGTTCTAGTCCCAGCTGGGGCACTGGATTCTGTCCTGGTTGCTCCTCTTCCGGTCCAGCTCTCTGCTGTGGAGTGCAGTGGAGGATGGCCCTGGTCCTTGGGCCCTGCACTCTCATGGGAGACCAGGAAGAAGCACCTGGCTCCTGGCTTCAGATTGGCGCAGTGAGCCAGCCACAGCGGCCGTTAGGGGGGTGAACCAACGGAAGGAAGACCTTTATCTCTGCCTCTCTCTCACTGTCTAACTCTGCCTGTCAAAAATAAATAAATAAATAAATAAATAAATAAGAAAAAAAGAAAAAAAAAAAGAGAGAGAGAATCCAGTCTGTGACCTTGGCCTTAGATTTAACTTCTTTGGGCTCCGTGATGGGTAATTTCATGGATTAAAGAATTCCTAGAATCCTGGAAAAGAGTTCTGTAGGATTTATATTGGAGATTTTTTTCAAATGAAATTTGTGTGTGTTTAAGTAGAAAGACCTGGCCTCAGTGTGGGTGGCACCATCAGTTGTCTGGGAGAATCTGGACTGGGTAAACACAGAAAGCAAATTGGTCTCTGTGAGCTGAGACATGCTGGACTCCTGCCTTGGACGTCAGTTGCTGGTCTTTGGACTCCAGGACTTAGACCCACAGCCCCCTTGCTGGCCTTCCGGCTCTTGGCCTTGAGCTGAGTTACACATCAGCCCTGGTTCTGAGCCTGTGGACAGGACTGAGCCATAGCCTCTCACCTAAAGGGAACCTGTCATGGGACTTCTCAGCCACCGTAATCCCTTAAGCCAATTCCCTTCATAAACCCACCTGCGTAGACCTGTATCCACGTCCCATCGATTCTGTCTTTCTAAAGAACACTGACTGATGCTGGTCCTGCTTCCTTATCTTCCTTAACATTAAGTACCTAGAGTAACTCACTGGGGATTATTCCAGATCTGTATCAGACCACAGGCCTGAGCAGGGAATGGATTTCATAGGAAGGTCACCTTGTCTTGCAGTGTGTATATTGGGGAGAGTTCCTCCTGGAACAAATAGTGCGTAGAAGGCCAGCGTTCCCACTCCTTAGCTTCCAGCGCATCTGGCTTTATTCCCAAATGCTAAGCCTCATTTCACCCGTTCCTGTTTGTGAGCTCATTCTCTGGAATGAGAACTTGGAAGAGAGATACAGGACTCAGTTTGAATTGCATTGTCGCTAGTAGAACAATCTTGATATAACCGGTGTTTAAATTCTCAGCACCTAATTGGCCATTTATTGCATTTCATTTCCTATTCCAGCCCTTACAGAGTAAAATCAAAGTAGTAAAGTGCTGTATCCATTTTTTTCTTCTCTGATCTGTATCAAGTATTACCCCCCGAAAAAGAACTGGTTTCTGAAATGTCATACTGCTCTCCCCTGACCACTTACCGCCAGTTGTTAATACATCTGCCCTTAGGCCAGTGCCGTGGTTCACTAGGCTAATCCTCGGCCTGTGGCGCTGGCACCCTGGGTTCTAGTCCCGGTCAGGGCGCCGGATTCTGTTCTGGTTGCTCCTCTTCCAGTCCAGCTCTCTGCTGTGGCCCAGGAGTGCAGTGGAGGATGGCCCAAGTCCTTGGGCCCTGCACCCACATGGGAGACCAGGAGAAGTACCTGGCTCCTGGCTTCGGATCAGTGCAGTGCTCCGGCCGCAGCGGCCATTCGGGGATGAACCAACGGAAAAGGAAGATCTTTCTCTCTGTCTCTCTCTCTCACTGTCCACTCTGCCTGTCAAAAAAAAAAAAAAAAAAAATCTGCCCCATAACAGCTGTATCAGATAGAGAGTGCCAGTGTTGGGGTGGAGAGACTAGAAGAAGGGAACCAGCATAGAATAGCTCTTCACCTTTAGGTATTAAGTTCCTGGCACTTGACACATTTCCTAATTGCAAGAAATATCCAGATACCTGCTTCCAATACCTGAGAGCAGGCTTGGCCTGGGCCTGTGACCCCTGAGACAAGGAACTAATTCACTGTGGCTGGAGAGCATCTTTGGTGTTGAGCCAGATTATAATGTGTTTCTCTAGAAAGGAGAATTAACCTGTGTTAAAGTCTTTGAGAAATAAACACCAGATGAATGGTAAGAACAGCTACTCTGACTAGCCATGATAAACTGAATGTTGTGTGGTAATGTGTTCATTTAATTTCTCTTTGATCTTCTCAACTAGTGGATTTCAGACTTAAATTCAGGTTAGAGTTCTGTATTATATGTTGCAATGCATGAAAATACAGCTGAGCACTGGGGATTAGATGCTTAATGGACACAATTAGTGGGAAAATAAGTTCTATGATGAAAGAAAAAATACTAGGAATGCAAGTATTTAGTCTGAGGCTGGTTGGGATGAGGATGACTTATATATAGCCCGCAGCTGTGGGAATTTTGTGAAGCAACTGCTGATCAGATTTCTTTTGTATCATTTAGTAAGCTGCAAAGTGAATTATTGACAATAAAGCAGTATCATTCCTGAACTGGAAACTACCAGTCAGGCAGACAAAGGGTCTTCTGTCATAGACAGAATTCCAGCAGAGAAGAGATGGTGAGGATTAGTTAATGCAATATTGAGTGACTGTTAAAAGCCAAGCAACAATCTACTGTTCAGAATATAACAGTTTAGAGAAAGACAAAGAATGCAGAGGGAGAGATCCCCTGTCCACTGGCTCACTCCTCAGATGGCCGCAATGACCAGAGCTGGGCCAGTCCAAAGCCAGTAGCCAGGAGCTCCATCCGGGTCTCCCACATGACAGCAGGGGCCCAAGCATCCAGGCTATCCTCTGCTGCCCTCCCAGGTGCAGCAGCAGGGAGCTGAATCAGAAGTAGAGCAGCCAGGACTCAAACTGGTGCCCAAATGGGACGCCAGCATCACAGGCAGCGGCCTAACCTACTACACCACAACACCAGACCCCAGAATACAACAGTTTAGAAATAGGAGAAGATCCTACCCTCATGGACCTTAAATTCTCATGGAGAGATGTAGACATTCAGTAATAAGTAAGTATATAAGTAAATTATATGCTATTTTATAAAGTGGCATAGGTCAGCAAAAGAGGTAGAGTTTTAAAAGTTAGCTAGGGAATCAGCTATGGAGAGGTTTCTTTTCTTTCTTTCTTTTTTGAGATTTATTTATTTATTTGACAGAGTTCGTGAGAGAGAGAGAGAGAGAGAGAGAGAGAGAATCTTCCATCTGCTGGTTCACTCCCCCAGATGGCCACAACAGCCAGGGCTGGTCCAGGCAGAAGCCATGAGCTAGGAGCTTTTTCTGGGTCTTCCATAGGGTAGCAGGGGTCCAAGCACTTGGGTCATCTTCTGCTGCTTTCCCAGGCCATAGCAGGGAGCTGGATCAGATACCCTTTTGGGGTATCGGCATTGCAAGTGGTAGCTTTACCTGCTAAGCTGCAACACCAGCCAGAGAGGTTTAATTTGAACAATCCTGTCCTGAAATTCCAGAAACATTTCCCAACATGTGATAAGCTTTTTTTAGTGGTGTCCACTTTGGTGCCCTAGGCAGTGTACCCATCCCAAGGATGTTCAACAGCCCTCACTTGGTATAGTGTAATCTCCTCTAGTGGCCCTCCCAGAGTCACAAGCCTGAACTCCGCAGTTCCCCTGCTTTGGCTCGTTCCAGCTTTTTGTTATGTTTTGTTTTGTTTTGTTTGCTTTTTAATGGCAGAAATTGCCTTCAAAGAAAGTATATTTCCTTCATAGCACCCACTTGATGAAGCCACTGGCGTGGAAGACTTGTATTAAAATCATCTACATCATTCATTCAGTGAACACTTATTTTAAAGCATATGCCATCTGCTAGGGGTTTTTCCTACATGTTGGGGATTCCAAATGTAGGATTTTCTCCAGTTTTTGTATTGCTGAGACTTTATTCCAGACACTGATTCATGCATGAAAAATGACAGTTGAGTATGAGAAGTACTTTGCAACTTACGAGTCAAAGGCTTTGTTGAGGGAGCAGTTTACACTGCCTGAAACAAAGGGGCGGCTTCGTGGACCTGATTTTCCTCTAGTTGCATTTTGAAGTGGAAATTCATCGAATACGAGGGACTGTTGTCTCTTTCAGGGTGGAGTATGGAGTAAGCAGGAGACGGTAGCAGAAAGGCAGGTCGGAGTCATGATACAAAGGGCCTTCAACTCCTTGCTAAGAAAGAACACTAAGGACAAAAGCAGGAGAATCCAGCATCATTGTATCTCCAAGGTAACTTTTGGCAGTGCCAAAGATAGACTTGAAAACCAAGAAGTTTCCTTCTTTTCTTTTGTCTACTTATTTGACCTTGTGATCATTGGTGTAGAGCTCAGTAGCTTTCCTTCTAGAAACCAATAACTAGGTAGAAAGATAAGGGATTAAAACAGAAACATCTCAATGACAGTGGAGAGGCAGGTGTAGATTAGACGATTTCAAGACTAGCACGGAAGTCATCATTCCATGTCACCGGCACTCTATATGACTGAATCCAAGATTGTGGCCAGACCTGGCTCATGCATTTGATAACAGTTAAAGGAAACTTCATCAGAGAATTCTGCTCCAGCCTGACACTAGTCTACTGCCTTGGGCAAGATACACAACCACTGTGGGTCTCATTCTCTTCATCTATGGAGAAAGAAATGAGTAAATTTACATAAAGCACTGAGCACGATGCCTGACATCTCAAGTCTGGTCCAAATAAGAGCTGTATGCATAATTACACCTGCCTGCCTCAGAGCAAATATTTACATACATGCACAGCCACTCCAACAGAAGGAGACTCACTAGGCCAGGGCCCTTACGGAGGTGAAACCGGAGTTTAAGTGAAAATGTTCCCAGATGCCGCCTCTTGTTTCTCCTACTTAGTTTGATTCCTGGAGGCCCAGCGTATGAGGGCCTCATCCAAGAAGGTTCAGACTACTCTGAGACAGGAGGGAGGAGGCCAGTGACATGGAGGCAGGAGAGCTCGCTGCAGAGGAGCAGTGGGAAGAGTTGGGTAGTGAGAGATGAGGTCCCAGATCTGATGGAGATCACCTTGGGCACTGCAAGGTCCTGCACGTGGGCACCATGGGTGGGAGGGAGGAGGCCTCTAAAAGGCAGGCTGACATCTAGGGCAGACAGCAGGAGACCTCCTCTGAGGCGGGGACTGCACAGAGTGTGTCAGTGGGTGACCACAGAAGCAGCGCCAAACAGCCTCAGCTGGGGCTTCGCAGGACGGAGCCGATGGTAGAACGGGCAGGGGTTTATCCCGTAGAGACACTGGGCTTTGTATTTGTGAACCCTTGGCTGAAAATAAAGAAACTCAAAATTGTAACAGGGGTGTGTATGACTGTGTAAGTGAGAGACACACAGAAAGAATATTAATGACTAAACTGGGGTGATTCCATCCTGCAGATCTGGCTAAGAGTAATTTAAAGCACATTGTTGTTTGTAGACATTTCAGAACCCTCCATGGGATTTCTGGGAATTTCTACAAGTCTCTGTCCTCTGGGCCTCCCCTGACTCCACATTCCGGTTCTACTGACTGTGTCCAGTTGACATGGTTTCCACACTGTTTCCCAGCCTGCCTGAGGTACAGTCTAGTTTAGCGTCTCAGCTGCTGTGTGAACTTGGACACATACTGAACTTCTCTGTTTTTCTAGGGCCTAACTTACAACATGGTGAAAATATTATCGTTTACCTTATAGGTTGCCATTGAGTATTGTGAGATAATTATTTGAAGCACTGATATATGATAGTATAAGAGCTTAGAACACTACTTAGTGCTTAAGTACTTTTACATTATTATAATTATGCTAACCTGATTGTTGTACATTAAACCAAAGGTGTAGAGCTCCACTTCTTTTCCTTGTTTTCACTCAAAACAACCTGCCACAAAAGGCTGGGGGGGGGGGGGGGAGACTTTACTAAAGATTAAACATATGGAGGGATTTTCATTTCATTTGTGCCAGCAACATACAATTTCAGTGTATATAATCTGGCCCTTAAAAGTCCCTGAGAAAATTTCAGTTGGAACTTAAGCCTCTTCTCATTCACCATTCATTCCACATTTCTAAATCTTCATGAATGCTAAGTAATTTAGCTGTCTCTCTACCTTTAGCTTGCTGACTTGTGCTCTCAGAATTTCACCATCACCACCACCACCCCTCCCCCCAGCCTTTTATCAAGAATTCTCTTAAGCACAGCTCTTTCCTTCTCCTTCCATCATGTAGTAGTAGTTCCTAATGGTTCTCCTGAGTTCTTTAATATTGAGAGCAATCTGATTGATTGTCTTCTCATTTGAACCATCACTCTGGCTGCAGTTTTGCTGCCCACATGTTTACATCCCCGGCTGCAAAAATAACACAGGAGATGTGAGCCCCCGGAGAGCAGAGGTCAAGATCTTTTTCATTGATAGCCCCAGCAGTCACTAGTAGGTGGCTCAAAAATTCATGTGCATTTATAATTCATTGTCTGTATCTTTTCAGTAGGAATGAAACACGTGCTTCAGGGAGAAGGCTTCGGGGATGGTGTGCATTCGCCATGAGTGAGTGGAAGGATGCAGCATTTCTTCACTACCATGACATTAAAGCGAATTCTTCTTTTCAGGCTCAGCTAGATAGCAAAGTTGCCCCAAAGATATGTCTTCCACAGCATAATCCCAGGAACTTTTACACATCACGAGTCCCTCTTGTTCTTCTCACTCTGCAGATATGCCATCTAACTTCATGTTATTGTAATAATCTCCCTTGACATTCGATTTCTTCTGTGGCATGGTAAATAATTTCAATTTTCTACCATATTTAACAATTTGACTACAGTTATTCCTCTAGTGAGCTACTCCTGGGAGAATAAAAAAAAATGGAAGTAATGGTTTCTAAAAGAGAAAGGTGACATTCCCCTCTCTGCAGACTGTTAGTTTCAACTGGCAGAGGTCCCCTTTGCTGCCTGTGAAATTTTGTTAAAAAAGTTTTTGTAATGGAGTCTGACTCTTATGTTTTTGATGTTTGATTCTGACATTTTTTAACTTTATCTCCACCTCTTCCCCCTCTGTCCCACATATGGGCAAGACAAGAACATCCAGAGGACGTCTCCTTGGGCACCCGTGGGCAGTTTAAATCTTGCGTGGGAACTCTTGCCCCAGCCCCATGCCCTGTTCATCACAAACACGCCAAGCCAATCTTCTTGACTTTCTGAAGCCATCACGGTGCCTGCTCGGGAGCCATCCTGCTCTCGCCAGAAAGACTCAGTATGTGAGTATCAATCCGTTCACACTCAGCAGGAGGGATTCTACAGCCGAATAATATTTTGCACAGGGGACCACCCTGACTCTACCGAGTGTCCACAACAATCTTATTTACGAGTTAGTGCATCAAAGGAGCATGTGTATGCTAATTTAGATGTTGGCAATATGAAAGTAGCTGCCTTAGTCCCTTCTTGCTGACCATACTGAAACACTGGGTAATTTGTAAATGATGGAATTTTATTTCTCACTGTTGTGGAGACTGGGAGTCCAAGGTCAAGGCACTAGGCAGACTTGGTTCAGAAAGCGGCTTTCTGCTTTCAGGCTATGTTGCTGCATCCCCACCTGGTGGGAAGAATGAAAGCTGTGTCCTCCCATAGCAGGAGGGGCAGTGGGACCAGGCCACTGTCCATAACGTCTTGTGAAAAGGCGTTGCTCTCATCCACCAGGGCAGAGCCCTCTTCACTTTCCAAAAAACCCTACCTCTGAATAAAACCACAATGGGATGAAGCTTCAGCTTATGAGCATCAGAGGGACACAAACATTCAAACCATACCAGTGGCATTAAAAAAGAAAAACACAAACAGGGGCCACTGCTGTGGCACAGTGGGTTAAGACACTGCCTATGAGGGTGGCATCCCGTATTGGAGTGCCAGTTGGATCCTGACTGTTCCACTCCTAACCCAGCTCCTTGCTCATGTGCCTGGGAGAGCAACTGAAGATGGCTCAATTATTTGAGCCCCTGCCACACGTATTGGAGACCCAGATGGAGCTCCAGGCTCCTGGCTTTGGATCAGCACAGCTCCAGCCGTTGCAGCCAATTGGGGAGTGAACCATCGAATGGAAGACCTCTCTCTGTCTTTGTCTCTCTCTGCCTCTCTTCTCTCTGTGGTATAACTCTGACTTTCAGATAAATAAATAAATCTATAAAAAGAAAGAAAGAAAGAAAGAAAAGACTGTATTTTCTCCAGCTGTTGAGTGCAGTAGTTCTATATATACCCTTTGCATTAAGCTTATTAATTGTGTTGCTCAGATCCTTTATAGCTCCTTTTGGGTTTTTTGCTTGTTTCTTTGAATTACTATGAAATTATTAAAATCTTCCTCTGTGATGATGAGTTGGCACATACATTTTCAGACCATTACTAAGTGAATACAAGTTTAGAATTTATATTCTCCCATGAACTAAGGCTTATTTCATTATGTGGTGCTTGTTCCTCTAGAAGTGCTATTTTCTTTAAAGTCCAGTGTGTCTGAAACTGCTCTAGCTAACTTGGTTTAGTATTTTCCTAGTTTATTTTTCCCAGGCTTTGATCTTCATGCTTTCTTTGTCCCTCGGTTTCAGGGAGCACAGAGTTGGATCCGTTTTAATCCCCTCTGACCACCTTTGACTTTTAATTGGATAACAACCAGTTATTTCTGCTGGTTGGGATCAGTTGTATATTTAGTGTGATCTGTCATTATATCATCAAAATATTCACTGGCCCTTCCTTTGAGCTCCCCCTGTACAAGATCTATCTCTCCCAGGCCCATCCCTGCTGAAGTATTATCATTTCTAACCCCATTAACATCTAAGCCCATTAATAGACTTGGCTATGTGATTTTTTTTTTTAGCACTAAAAGTGAGTAGAAGGAAACGTGCCCCTTCTGGGTAGACTTGCCTGTGGAGTCATCATGCTGCTCTGAGCTATTCTCTGCCACAACAGCAGGGGGCTCCCCGCTGAGGCTGTTTCTTTGTCCTGGGTCCCAGCCTGGGCAGCTAAAGCTAAATGAAGGCTGCCATGTAATGAGAGTGAGAAATAAACAGATTCTGAAAACCACTGGCATTTGTGGCTGACTTGTCAGTGCAGAGCAACCTTCCAAGTCTGATTAATACATTTACACTTATTTCTACTGGATTATTTGCTACTCTATACATTGCTCTCTGCCTTCCTTTTTTTCATGTTGTGCTTTCTTCTTGATTAATTTGAAGATATTTTCATTCTTTTTCTCCTCCTAACAGTTTGGAATTATATTCTGTATTTTATATTCTGTTAAGCTATCTCCCTATCTATTTTTTTTAAAGATTTATTCCATTTATTTGAAAGACAGAGTTACAGAGAGAGAGAGAGAGGTCTTTCATCTGCTCGTTCACACCCCAAAGGGCCACAATGGCCAGAGCTGAGCTGATTCAAAGCCAGGAGACAGGAGCTTCTTCTAGGTCTCCTATGTGGGTTCAGGGATCCAAGCACTTGGGCCATCTTCCACTGCTTTCCCAGGCACATTAGCAGGGAGCTGGATCAAAAGTGGAGCTGCTGGGACTTGAACCAGAGCCCATATGGGGCACCAGCGCTGCAGGCCAGGGTTTTAACCTGCTGCACCACACCGCTGGCCCCTACCTATTGTAACATGTGTGCCAGTATCCATTAGGATAAGCTATATTATACACTAGGAATGGTTCCAGGTTCTCAAGTTTAGAACAATAAAGGTTCCCATTTTTCCCTCTGCAATATAGGCTGATGGAGGAGCCACCGTGTGGGGACAGTAGCAAGAAGAGAACTGGGTCATTTACAGTGGCACTTAAATGGGTCTGCCTGAAAAAGGGCTTTGGGTCACTTGTGCTCCTATTTCACTTGACAAAAGTTCTGTCACAGCACCTACATTTATGGCAACAGGGAAGTGCAGTCCTGTGTGAGTGGAAGAAGAAGGAAAGTTGAAACCTGAGTGAGGAAATGCAACGCCTGCACAGTCGCCCCTCTGCTCACCATATACGCCCCTCTCAAAGGAGGCAACTGCAAAGTCCTATCAGTTAGAAAGCTTGGCTCAGAGTCAGGTTCCCTGCACACACTGGGGTAGGGCAGATGCACAGCAGTCTCTATACCAGATCCTCATATGAGTGCTCTTGATAGTCTCTGAGCCCAAAAGATACATTGCATTGATTGCAGGCACCCAGAAGACAGTGATGAGACAGGCACTGCCATTTGGAAAAGAAAAGCATCAGGATACATACAATTGCTGGCCCATCACAGTTTTGAAATTCTGATTGGCAAGTATTGTTCAGGCATTCAATCCATGGAGTGGAGAATGTGCCTTCATGAAACCTACTTTCTAGTGGGTGGAGGGACTTCCTTTGAAATTATCCTCTGTGGCCCTGATTCTACCTTCTAGAAGTTTCTTCCTTTTCTGTTATCCATGGCCACATCTGAAGTAGAGGGCAGCAGAGCTTCCCTGTGGACCATGCGGTATTCTCAGCCCTCTTCTTGTCCTGCTTGTAATAAAACTGCCCCAGGTGTTAATGGGCTTCCTATCTGCTTCTTACCCGCCCAGTATCCATGTCCACAGTTCTTTCTAAGATGGGCTTTTGCAGGAGCTCAGTTTTCCTTCCTCACACATACAGCTCGACTTCCCCACTCCCCACCTCCCTTAGGACCCAGGAAGCTGATTCTTGTAAATGTGTCTGGGAAAGACAGCTCAGCTCTTTATCCTGAGTTATCTTATAGACATCAAGCTCCTTGCCCTCAGGTGCGTCCTCGGCCCGCCCATTGGTCTTCACCGGGGGTAAGGTCCACACTTTGTCTTAACCCCTGCCTCGAGGCTGACTTGAGATCGGCCGTCGTTCCTCGAGCTGTTCTTAACTCGCACGTGGTGGCGAGGCGGCTTTCCATTCCTGAAAGCCCAGGAACTTCTATGCTCTTTCTACTCTCTTGTTTCTGTTTATTTCCTGAACTCAGGAAATGGCCAGATTCAGCCAAAGCTCACTAGTGTAAAGTTTTGTTTTCCAGCTTCTTTCCTGAGAGCTATAGATAACTTCCTTAGGCACATAACAAGTTATGGCCAGTTGACATTTTACCACGTATGCTGGCATCATCTTTCGCACCTTCAAAATGATCTTTCTCACTGCTTCCGATTCCAGTGCTTCTTCTGTTGAGATAAAGCAAGTTATGCTGTTATACATACATGTTGTATGTTATACAAACCACAAACAATAAAGATTCCAGAAGGAACCAGGATTTCACTCTGGATTACAGGCTGTGAAGGTTTACTAGTCACTAGCACTAGTCACAGGGGCCAGGGAGAGAGACTGGTTACTGAAACCAGGATTGAATCTTCTGTCTAGGAAGTGACACTGTCCTACCTGGCTTCATAGTCAAGACTAACTTCCACGTAGGTAAGGAGGTTCAGGCTTCCCACACTCCCTAAAGGAGAGGAGAGCCATAAATACTGAAGACTTGCAATAATATCAGCAACAGGCTGGCGCCGCGGCTCACTAGGCTAATCCTCTGCCTGCGGCACCCCACACCAGGTTCTACTCCCAGCTGGGGCGCCGGATTCTGTCCTGGTTGCCCCTCTTCCAGGCCAGCTCTCTGCTGTGGCCCGGGAGGGCAGCGGAGGATGGCCCAAGTGCTTGGGCCCTGCACCCACATGGGAGACCAGGAGGAAGCACCTGGCTCCTGGCTTCGGATTGGCGCAGTGCGCTGGCCTCAATGTGCCAGCTGTAGCAGCCACTTGGCAGGTGAACCAACGGAAGAAGGAAGACCTTTCTCTCTGTCTCTCTCTCACTGTCTAACTCTGCCTGTCAAAATAATAATAATAATAATGTCAGCAACAAAGAACAAAGTCAGTATTTTAACCTCTTTTAAAATAATAATAGGGCATTAGGGAAGTATAATTCTGAGTTCCCAGATTATTAGCTTTATATATTAATGTTTATTCCCAGTTAAGTATTAACACTATTGTTTTATCCAGTCAGTATTTATTCAGTCATTCATATGTTTACCACTTTCTTTATTCCTTTTTCATATTACATCTTTAGCACTTCAATTTTTTTATTCGTTTTTTAAAAAGATTTAATTATTTATTATTTGAAAGGCAGAGTTACAGAAAGGCAGAGGCAGAGAGAGAGAGAGAGGTCTTCCATCCGCTGGTTCACTCCCCAAATGGCCACAATGGCCGGAGCTGCGCCTATCCGAAGCCAGGAGCCAGGAGCTTCTTCCGGGTCTCCCATGTGAGTGCAGGGGCCCAAGGACTTGGGCC